GACATAGATTGCCAAACGAAAGAGGATATAGTGGGTGGTCGGTTAGTCCCTTTGTACTTCCTCACCAGAAAGCCTCCCGCCTCTGAGAATGAGGATCCTTCTTTCGGGATTTCAACTAACCCACCAGTTTTGTGATCAACAGTTTTGATTGTTTCCACCTTGGATGGAGCAGGTTCATCTAGAAGCGTCTCATCTTCCACGTCGGCAACAGCCTCCGGATCTTGACCCGCTTCTAGGAGAGGGGCATCCTGAATGGTGGGACCAGACTGATTTGATGAAATCTTACCCTCTCGAAGGGACTTGTAACGGTCCTGCATCGGGAAAACAAAGTTTCCATCGGGCCTCGTGATTTTGAAAACACGATGCAACTTCACAACATCATCAAAGTCCGTTTCATTCAGCTCTTTCAACGATGCAACGAGGTAGTCACCTCTCCAGAGAAAGCCGGGGTGGATAACATACCCAACAAACACTCCCGGATTGGACGTGGGATCAAACTTCAAGTCCTTCTTCGGTTTCTGTCTTGGGCCAATCCAGTAGTCTATGCGACATCCGAACGGCAAGAACTGACCTTTGAACTCATCTTCGAACCTAAGATTCCACGGTGTTCTGGAACCAGAAGGTGGCTCACAAACATTCTGAGATAAACACCAGTGCCTTGCGGCGTGCGGCCAGTATGAATGATTCAACCCGGCCTGTGCAAGTGCGACTCGAGTTCCCTCGAGCACGGTTCTGATGCTTCGTTCAGCCACCGCGTTCGTTTTGTGAATGTACTCTTGGCTGAGGACATGTCTCCAGCCCATCTGTTCAGCTGCAGCAATTAACTCAGGGGCGTTGTCACTATAAAACGTGCCAACCTCGTCTGACGAGGAAGTGAAATGCTGAAACGCTTTCACAGTGGCTTCCGTGTTTCTTTTAGCAAAAGGATATGCGTATTTGAAACCGGTGGCAACGTCACTTATGACAAGGGCAGAGTACTCATCGTCTATGCCTAGCTCCTGTTCGTCTGCAGTGATTATGAAATCGGCTGTGATATGCTCAGCAAATTTTCGAGCATCAACTTGTCTGGATCCCCCCCGCGAGCGAGAGGGAGACTTGGTCATCTTGGCGCATTTGCACACTTCGCAGAATGGATTCTTTGGCTGGTGTGTCATTAGGTGTTTCCGTGATGCTGCTTCCTGCCTTAGGGCACTTTCTGCAAGTGATCTGGGGCTTTTCTTATCGGGGTTGCCAACAACATCTTCCCCTGCCAAATCTTTACTCTCTAATGGCTCAGCAAGTTCATCTGGATGGACTTCAACGGGGTCATTCGCCAGAAGCTCGGCGACAACTCTAGCATGCACCTCAGGATCCTCTAGAGGGGCAATGCTAGGCGTATACTCTTCTTCCGCGGCAACTTCAGTTTGCACGGAGGAGGAGTATGACGATTCATTCGGTGCATTGCTTCTGGCGACCTGACCTTCCGGTCGGCTTGGCGGTGTGCCTTTGGCGGGACACGCCATTGCTGAGTCGCCATCCCACACGTCGTAGTACGGGACATAATCTCGAACTTTGAGATAAATTCTCGTCCCATCAGGCTTGACAAAGAATGGCTTCTCTTTTGCATGCCATATGAAGTCATAACCCTGATTCATGCATTTCAAACCTACGGAGAGAACAGAGGGTGTTTGTGGCAACAAATATGGATCCGTGTTCCCAAGGTCACCTGCGGCCATGTTGGCCTGCTTTGACGAATCACTTGGTCCATTGGCAGTCATCAACATCACGGGATCATTTGAATTATAAATTGCATATTCGGGGCAATTCGCACGTGTAAAAAGATCAGTCCCGCTCCCAGTGTCAATAATCCATGAACAGTTCGGAGAGAATCTCTTGCTCGCCAAGGCGGGCTTTGCGCCCATGTCTCTCGGGGCGCATTGCCAGCATCCGATCTCGCTGTCACATTCGTAGTTGCACCTAGTCGGATGGCCTTCTAATTCACGCCTCACAATGAAGGCGAGCATGGTTGCTTCGAGTCTGGCATCATCTATGCTAACATCATCATGGAAAAACTGATGGTCGATTGGGTAGACCTTTGGATACACGCGCGGTTTGTCCGCGATCTTAAACTGCTCACCATGTGCTGGTATCCTATTCATTTCAACCTTCGAGCTGAAACGCACGCTCGGGAGGGCAGGCACATGCTTCCAGTCCGACATGAGGTTCCCCTCAGCGATAGGGGCGTTCATCATGGAAGACAATAGGCATCCCAACACGCAAACAGCAGCAGGAGAGGGCTTTCCGGAAGACCTTCCCTTGTGACCCTTCTTCTTTTCTCCCTTGGAATCACGGGAAGTGGATCGAGAGGTCGACTTGGAACGATCCCTGCTCGATTTGCGATGCTTCCGATCTTTTCCCTGCTTCTTTTGCTTGTCTGCGGATGGCTCCCTTGACCCTGGAACGGCCGGCTTCGGGTCGATGTGAGCAAATGGGCAGTTCTCACCACGGTCACACCTCCCCTTAGGGTAGAAACGGCACTCTTTCTTTCCCTTTGGGCTATTCGTTCGGCCTTTACCCTTACCCTTCTTAGGCTTAGCGTCTCTTGATGGGGTCCTACCCCTGGCATCGCCCGATGGCTGTTCATGCTTGTACGTGCAATTGTCCCGCCGACACGACCCATACTTGACAAATGCAATGCAAAACCCCTTAGGCACACGTTGGCTCTCAGCGGCGGGTGCGGCTGGCCTACCCCCGTTCTGCCTAGCAACCCGTTCTCGGTTGCGCTCGAGCCTTGCTCGAGACAGGTATTGCCTCACAGATTCAATCAAGTAGGTGTATGAGTGATCGGCGGACTCTTCCGAGGCGCTCAAATAGACATTCAAATGGTGTTGCATTTGCTTGCTCTTCTTCAGCTGGTTGTAGAACAGAGCCTCAAGCATGGAGTCATCTGGTGTCTTGGCATTCATTCCTGCAAGAACACCCTCCCAGCTACGCATGAAGGAAGTGAGGTTATCGTTCACGAGCCTCACGTTGAGGAGATCTTCCATGGCATAGGTGGCTCCGTGCTTGATGTTCGTGCTCAGGTGCTCGTGCACCATGAGAAGCACTTGTCTCCCACGAACTGGATTCCTCTTCTGCGCCTCTACCTCCTTGAAGGTGTCGACTTGTCTCGCCAGGTCACCCTGAATGATGTTGGTGAGGGCGGACAGCAACTTGGCGTCCAAGGTGAGGAAAGTACCGGGTTCTTTGAGCTCCTCGATTGTAACGGCGGGCTCCCACACTCTGCTGATCCACGTGAAAGCGTCATCGGGGCGATCGGATGCCGCACATACGGCTTCCCGCACCTTGATGCGCCAATTCCTGTAACTCTCAGGAAGTGGGAAGGAGGGAATGATAATCCTCTCCGCCTCCTTGACCTTGGGCTTGTCATGGTCTGCGTCCACTGCGCTCGCCTGCTTGCCCAAGATCTTGTTGAGCTTCTTGCGGATCACTCGTGCCTTCTCCGATGATGATGATGAGGATGATGATGTTGAGGAGCTGGATGATGAAGAGCTTGGAGAGTCGGAAGGAGACCCACTCTTTCGCTTCTTGTGGCTCTTCTTCTTCTTCTTCTTGTCCTTCTTGCTCTTCTTCTTTTTATCCTTCTTCTTCTTCTTCTTGTCCTTCTTGCTCTTCTTCCCATCGTCATTCCCATCGTCATCGTCGTCGTCAGGATCATCGTCATCATCGGGAAAACCGGCAGGTGGTTCCCCACCGCCTCCGCTCTGGCCATTCCCTGCGCCTGATGGACATCCGCCACCATCGTTAAGGTCCTGTGCCGGAGATGTCGGTTCGTAATCCCCGGCATCCCCGTCAAGATCATCGGCGGCACCTGGCCCGTCACGGCGGAGTTCGGTGGAAGCTGACCTGATACGTACCTTAGAACTAAGATCCAGGCCAGGGGGAGGAAACGTCTGTACAGGAGAGGCCTTTGGCCTCAGACCGAAAATCGGAACATTACAAAAACTACTCTGCTCACTGCGAGATTTCAGTTCATGACGTAGTGCCTCAATGTCCCTCGACTGCTTCATGATAATCTCCCTCATTTCAGCAGCGTTCCTGTCCGCTTCCTCCTTCTGCTTGTTGTGGGTGACTTCCCAAATCAATTTGAGCCGTTCATACTTCTGTTCAGCTTCTGAGCGTTGAGCAACCCACTGCTGTCTTGCCTCGTTGAACTCTCTTTCCTTCGCCATTGCCTCTTGTTGGCATACATTGATGTGGTTCACCGCGTCCTGATAGAGTCGGCCTTTTTCCTCAACATGGCCGGCTTGGAGCTGATTGATGATGGCGTCGTGGCGTGCCGAAGCATAGGCAGCCACTTCCTCCGTGCTCGGACCTGTGTTGACCACATTCACCGTCTGGCTATGTTGATATATATTCGGGGCGCTCACATGATGTTGATGAAGGTGAGTTTCATTCTTAGTCATGTGCGCGTGCATCTCTTGCCCAGGTTGATGTCCGGCAAGAGGTTCCCCTCTGCTTCCCATTGAATCCTCCGGAAGGACGACCGAAGTGATGGGCACAAGCGCGTCACCTTGGTCGGATTCAGGAAAACTGCTTCGGGAGCGCTGTGACGGATTGCATGGCGGTTTCCCTTCCGGATGCCCACCCTTGATCAATTCGTTGGCCACTGCTTCGTTCATCCTTGCTATGGCAGGGTGGCATCCGTCGCCGCTTGACGCCATTGCGGCGCGGGTGAGAACTGACTGTACAAGGTACCAGCGATACGGCTGATAACCTGTTGAAAGGTGGGATCTACCTAAAAGTCAGCACAGGCGGCAGCTTGTTTTACTTGAGCCAGTATCACGTCGGTATGCCATTACCTATCAACAAATAGGATCCCTCTGAAGGGCATGGCACTGCCCACGTTGTTATATCCTCTTCGACGGGAAACAGAACGTACAAACGACACTGAATCAATCAATCGACCTGAATCAATCAATGATTGACCCTACTGCGGACCACCCTGCAAGCCGCTGCGCCTTGTCGAGACTCCGGGGGTCCAACAGCGTCTTGACCCTGGCCAACTTCGAGCTTCAACTGGGTCCAGGATGACATTGGCAACATCTCGACATGTGAAGGGAAGGCACCCCTTCATGTTCACATGTCCCCCCAACACATTCACACAAAGATACCTTCTTCAAGGCCTCCTGCAACGCTTTCGATCACCAGCCCAAGGAGTGTCTAGGGGTTGCAAAAAGATTGGGCTGTGAAGGGCTTGCCTGCCGGACATCTGCCATTGGGATCAAACTTTGCACCAGTTCTGCGATCTGCTGTGGCCAGAATGTGAGCACTACACTCATTGACCAACATTGTTTTCCATGATGAGCGGTCGTATGCTTCTATCGCTTGGACCAATCATTGCATGGCTCATTGATTTGGAGAGCGATACTTGCCCGCCTGCGACTTGAATTATGTTTCCCTGTCACGAAACTGCGAATGTGGGATGACTCAAGGCCAAGTCAGCCGTCCGAACAATAAGTTCAGAATGTTCAGATAGATTATCAAGAAAGGGCCGGGACCCAAACATGGGTGACAAGCAGCCGTGGGTCCCGAGTGTCCAAAATGATCCACCAGCCTCAAAGGACATGTTTACCCTCTTCTCAGGATGGTATCGGTCGCCCAAACAAGTAACCTCCCATGGGCATGCTGGATCGTCAAGTTAAAGTGCAGAACGACAAGGGTGCTGCTTCTAACATGAACTGTGCTATGTTCCGCCTGAATTAGAATCGCGGACGATCTGTAAGAACAACACAAATATCAGATTTGCCCCAATTTCCAGCTGCCGATTCGAATTGTGACAGCAATGACACACTACTTGCTCTCAATCACGACAAACAAAAGGCATCGTCCACAGGCAGCCTTGCCTTCAAATACCCTTGGAACTTCAAATGCGTTGCTTGCAGTGCATAGGTTTCGAATGGGCTAATCATCAAATCGCGGGGACGTCAAGTAAGGAGCCCTTTGTCTCTAAGAGTAGTCTCGGGGAAGAAAAGGCAAGCGGCAAACCGGAAGTTGTTTTGAAGTGTCCCGCAAGGCCTGGGCCTTCCCAACAGCCTCGGCACAAGTCGCCCTGCTTTCCCCTTGGAGTCCAGGCTTTCTGGCTTTATGGGACCCAAATGGCAATGGGTGTGTTTGTGTTGAGGGAAATTGCCCATGTTGAGGGATACAAGGACAACCCATTGTTCGGGGTCAGGCTTGTCGAAATTAAGCTGAACCAATGTGCCAATGTGTCTTGAGGATCTACCTTTTGCTTGCACAGCCTATGCAACCAGATAGGCGGTGTCTGGACTGGGTCGCGGATTGTCACGGTATGTCACAGTGGTCAAAACAACATAGAAATCGAAAGGTACCTTTGTCAGGTCACCATCATTTGCCCAAATGACATGAATGAAGGAGTTCGAACCAGGAGGGAGGCGGATGTAGTTGGTGAATGAGAAAGTGGAATGAATCCGGAAGATCACGACCCACGCATGACTGATTCTATCAAGGTGGCATTGGAGGTGGCATTGCATTCACTAAGCCGCTGTCTTGTCCACCGCATGGTCTAACTTGCCTTTACGAACTTGCCTGTCTTCAAGCAGCAACAACCCGCAACAACACACCTTGCGAATATGTTTCGATGCATGGCAATTGGATCCTGACAAAGAAAACAAACACCTCACAGCGGCAAACTCTTGACTTTGCAAATGCTGGTTCTCATCACTGCATCATACCATCCATGTGCACTCTTAGGTGCCCTAGCCGAATGCTTTGAGCTGTGACCACTTCAGGCGCGTGTCTTGAGCTGCTCATATTATGCCGTCATGCGAGCACCTTGGAACAAAACAGGGGACCACGCCTGAAATTGTTTTGCGATCAGTCCGAACCAACAAAAGCATGTGTCTGCCAAGTCAGCACCTCACGCATTTTGATCTCGCTGCACAGCTCGTCTTGGCACAGCTGTAAACTGTATGTGGCTCTTTTAACAACTCATGAAAGGTCGATGCAGCCCACACATGCCCAAACCATGCACTGGGTATAACATGTCTACACACTGCAGGCTACATTATCTCTTTAAGCATCCTAAACATCACCATGCTTCAAAAGGTCACTTTCAGCCCGTCTCATCTTCACAGCGCTTTTATCTGTGAGGCTGTGCACACGCATTTCGTCGATACACTGACAAGCGCACAGTTACGCACGGACATAGATGTGTTCCTCTTAAACGTCCGTTTTACTGACGCAGGCAAGGATGCTTCAACGTCCTTCACCAGCGGTGTGCTCCTACCACAGCAAGGCAAGCACAGCCGCAAGGGCCAAGGAAAGGCCGGCAAAGGAGCTTGAGCTGTCCTGGTGCCAAGCGCGAGCTGGCAGTCCCGATTTTGACTCTGAAAATCACTATGTCAAACACAAAAAGCAAACCTGGCTCATTTTGTGGCAGGAGTGAGGAGCGAAATAGAAACACCCAAGTGAGACCTGTTTGGGGTGCCTGTGTGGGGATCCTGACATTTGCAGGGCTGGCCAACCTCGTTGACAGGATTTGTCTGAGTGATGCCCTCCGCACTACTTGCAAACAGCCAGCCCAAAACCATCTGACAGGCTGCCTTCGTTCCAGACTTGACTGTTTGGGTGCGTCAATTCTACGCCCTGGCAGAAAACACAACCATACAGCGGCCAGGGAATGCATCATTCAGAAACCCCAAAATGGCCCAAAATGGCCCAAACGTTTTTGTTTCTTTTTCTGACACCCCATGTCGTAGCGTAGCTTCCCCCCCCCAACAATTGGGGATGTCCTTCAGCTTTCCGGGGTCTGGTGTGTCTTAAAATGGGCAATTAAGTGTCTTCTGGATGGCTTTCATTGGCAAAACAAGAATCCCAACGAGTCTGGGAGCCACTTCCCCAACTAAAGAACAAGAAAAACTGAGAGGGTTGGCTATGTACAACTTGTTCTTGGACATCATCTACATAACTACCTGTGTTCAACCATCCAACCCGTTGAAATCTTAAGGAGGACGGATCCGTCCTCCGGGTACACCAAGACCTGCTGCGGGAAGGAGCAGTTCTGCTGGCGGCACTTCCAGCCGGTACGCAGCACCACGTAGCATTCCTGCACGACAAAAATAAGATGGGAGAGAATGCGGTACCAGAATACAATAGTTTCATCTATGGTACGATAACGTTTCTGGTACGTTTCATCTATGGTAAGCTGGTATCATAGACTAAAAAGTTTCATATATGGTGTATTCTGACAAAGCATGATGACTAGACTAGAGAGGTGTGCTATGCTGTTTTTTTCTCCACTAAAAGGCTGAAAAAGCTTTGGGGTCTCAGCCCAAATAGGCTCCGGGGTGGTCCGGGGCGGCCCTGAGGTAAGGTTCCATGAGGGTTCCACCAGGGTTCCACCAGGGTTCCACGAGGGTTCCACGAGATTCTGCGAGGGCTGCGGGGTGGTGCGAGCACTAAAAAGAGCACCGCATGCTGTTGGGGATATCACCTGAGCTTATTTGTTTTCTTCTGCATTCACGTACGAGTTGCTTGACACGTGATGTTCTTAAGGGCACAGGTCAATCAGCGAACGACAGGCTTGGCCCCCCCTATCTTAAGCTAATCTCATCACAAGCTGGCGGAGTGGATAAGATCCTTATAATGATGTGCATCCTGAAATGAGAAAGCCATTGTTTGGCCTGCTTAGCTTCGCGTCAAGCTCTGGCAAGCTTCGTTTGTGACTCTCAGACTACTCCGCTGGGAGTCACAACATGCCAAGAAGTACCACGTGCGACTCCTTGATGTTTTGCTAACCGGCCCAACAAGTTGTCAGGAAATCCTGCTGAAAATCATGCCGCGCGGTTGTCCAAATGCAATTGTCAAGGACTGTACTGCTGCCAAACATGATCGAACACTATGGACTACATTGGGGAATCTTACCCCCTGAGACACATTCTATGACGACTCCAGATTGTGTATGGTCAGCATCCGGCTGAGGTTGCTGCAGTTGAGAAACCTGTTGCCATGACTAGTTTCCTGTGGATTACATCTCTTTTTATTTGTATCAAACAGAACGTTCTCATGGCAAGCCACCTCCTCAGAGTTCTTTAAGGGGTCGGCGCCTAGAAGCAAGACGCGTAACAGGCTGACAAAATCCAGCCTTAGATGCAACCAAGAACATAAACAGCAGGGTGCCAGGGCAGAAGTAATTGCTTGACTTGAAAGAGAGTGTGTGGGCCTACTCCGCTGGTTCTTCCTTTCCTGATAAGCCTATTCATGACATCGCGTCGCCCCGCCATCATACCGTCATGCCGTCATTACGCTTTGCCGACATGCCGTCATGAGATGACAATGTCAACATTACATGTTCTGCTGCAGTTGCGGCACGAGGCGAATTTCTGAGGCTAAAACCAGCAACAATCATACACATGCCACGGTGAAACTCTCTTCATCGCCGCCGGAAATGTCAATCATTCGCCTTTGAAGACCTACCCGCATGACACTAACTAGTTTCAATTGGCTCCTTCTCACAGCAAGTCCCACAGGACCTTTGGCACCACACCCACACTTACGAACTGTGCCTTCAATTTAGCTGTGGAAACAATGTATTGAATTCTACAATATGACTTGAACATTGATAGGGTGGACGAACACCAGAGCCTGTCCAACATTGGTTCTAAAGTGTCCCCTTTGACCACGGGACAGCCTCCCTGGTCGTGTCAAATTTGATGAGCACATCACATCCAAAAAATATGCTGCCACCCCGTAAGGGACATGGACAAACTGTGGAAAACTGTTCTCCCGCGCTTGTCCGGGCCTTCTTCTTGGCTTTGAAGCTGCAAGATGGATGCTCCTTGCCGGCATCCAGGACAATGTCATAGCTTCCTGGTAGGCTCAAGAAGCACGCGAAAGAATCCCAGTGACACCCATTGCACCGCTCCACGACCCCAGCCGCACAACAACTGCACGAAGACTCCAAGTGGCGCCCTCCATGAAAGGGAAACACAAATCCTAACACGTTTGGCTCACCTAACGCTGGTGCGAAGAAACAGCTCGCTAGGCCACGGCGACCAATGCGTTCAATAAAGCGGGCCAGGGGTTGTTGGCCGCTCAAGGTACGCGATGGCAATCCCTAGAAGCTGGCAAACTGGCCTTCCCACTACACTTCAACTCACATTTTCAGTGCCTCGACTTGCCTTGGGAAGCTCATAGCATCATAGCCCTGCCAAAGCCCGGCCCCGTCCTGGGCTAATGCCTGTGACGGTGCCGAAGCTCAAAGGCTCGCTCTTGTCTGCCTCCTTGATGCCTGGGGAGAAATGAGAGGGCCCCCCAAAGTCGAACTAGCCCAGGAAAGTGGATAGAGTTCCAGTGGGTACCCCTTTTCCCGTCCCATGAAAGAGTGGCACGGCATGATGCCTGCTTGACACTGGTACGGACGGTTCCGATGCTGTATGAACCAAAGACCGTCGGAGCCAGTTCAGCTGAGCTTGAGCCAGTGCATGTGCTGTGCTGTGTTTACTTGCAATTACAAGGATATCAATATTTATCCAGAGCCTAAAACACGCTCCACCTGAACCCATTGAAACCCAGTAACATACTGATATGGAAGACGGTGGCTTCAACACTCCCAAACCAACGCACTCCCACCTGGCAGATAATCTCTCTCTAATAGGGTCAATGTCTGTGGGGGATTCCCAAAAAAACAGCACCAAACTCCTTTTGCTTAGTAAAATTGATTGCAACCCACCCAACAAATTGGACAATTCTTGGGACTGTTGCAATTCACTCACGAAATCGGAAGAACAGAAGCTCCAAAGGGTCTTCATGGAGCATGTTTCCCTTGTTTGAGCTTCAACATTCACTCCGTGGCATCTGAAAACTTCTCCCAACCCTGTTATATTGCTTGAGAACACTCATCCCTGGATCTGACTGGATGAGGCTTCACACTCAATGGTGAACGCTGCTCAAAGATGTCCAGCGACTGCTTACCAAGGCGACCGAGCTGCTGATGTTGCTTGGAGCTCCGTTGTAAGTGTCGATGACTGCCACCTGCGCCGTGTCGGAGGGCGCGAAGACATGCGACCTGGCGAGCAAACGGGTCCTTGAAACTCTGCGGTTGCATGGCCTGCAAACAAATAATGCTTTGGGCTGACAGCTTGCTTAGGTCATGAACGGATTTTGCAGATCCTGATTGACGACTGAATACCAGGAACCACAAGACGACCCGCGAAGGTGCTGACTGAGTAACTGACATAAAGGTCAGTGCTTCACCTGGATCTTGGCTGCGGTGCGCGATGAGCATGAGGATGGCATCATGCTGAGGAAGGCTCCAAACCTTGGCTGCAGGTTCGAATATCGAGGAACGGCGCCAAAGCCACACCTCATGCTATGCCAGAACGTGGTTTTTGTGGAGGCAGGAAACTGCCGCTGTGAATTTGGTTGGGCTGTCTCGCATGCCTCATAACACGCCAAACATCATGATATGGACTGTGCATAGAGACAGCACATCTTGTGAATGTTTCAAAATGAGGGTGCAAAGGATAACAACGCCCGTCCTCAGTGACGCTCATGTTGCAACGCTCTGACATGACACTGGCCATTCAAGCCAGTTCCACAATTTGATTTTGGCAGGGCAAAGTATTGTAGACGGGCAGTTACAAATACTTGTGGCAATACAAGTGCAGTGCGTGGTAAGTGCACTAAACCATGATTAAGCACAACAGCCCTGCACAGTGCAACATCACCAACGAAAAGCGTATATACAAGGCTCTCTTCGTGTTGCACAGGGACTATATTTCTTGAAATATCCTTGCAGAAACAACACAAATGTCATATTGTGTACGTGTATTATGCTCCGAACCCATTCCCCTTACCTTTGCATGCGTATCAAGCTTTGAACAAACATTTAATAGGGAGAGGATTCTAGTATAATTTCTAGATTCAATGTGAATGTTAATCGGAGTGTCTTGTTGAACCGGATTTCAAAGTTAGCGGATTGTTTTCTTTAAGATTAGGTCTGCCAGCGGGTTCCGTTCCGAGGATGATCTGTTCAATCTATTAAAAACAATAAGTAAATAAAAAAAAATAAAAATAAAAAATAAAAAGCCAATAGCAATAGAAGGTAAAATGAAGTAAATCTAGTATACTTTCTAGCGTCAACTAGAGTTGAGGTAGCAAATAGCATTTATTGAATAAGATTATTTCAATGAAATTTCAAGGGGGGGTTCTTTCCCAAAAGGATTTGCTCAATCCTTTATCAGAGTTTAGGACAAATTCTGCCAGCAGAATCTCTAGCTTCCCAACCATTCTTTAAATACGTTTATTGTGCTAAAGAGGAATTCAGTTATATTGTACGTCAAAATATATTCTAGAGGCGCGTCCCTTTGCCAAGAGGTTTGGTGATGAATCTGCCTGGGCCAGCAGTGCTTCGAGCAGAGATTTGGAGGATACGAAACCGTCATCAAAAAGAGCCAGCTTGCGAGATCTACAAGATGACCCTCATCTGCTCTTATCAGGTCCTCTTATTGTCTAGTTTCTTGGGAGCAGTAATGGGGTTCTGCCTCTAGTTGTCCTATGGCTCTTGTCAAAACTTGACAGTCTGAGTCCTAAGGCTCCCTTGTGTGGATTCCGCCCTGGGCATTCGTCAGAACATCCATCTCTGTGGCAGGCCGCAGTAAAGACGCCTGCGGTCTTGTTGCCCTGCTTGAACTCCAAGTTGTCCCCAGCCTTCAGCCCACCCTCAAACTGACGGCAGTGCATGTACCTGGCCATCGCGAAATGGGTAACTCCTCGAGTCCCATCGAAAAAGAGAAGTTCCTAGGTTTGCTATGTTTGGACACTGGGTGTTCAGGATCAAGTAGTAGGCAAAACGCCAAGTCAATTATTCTACTTGCCACCCCGGAACATTGTCTGCATGGGCAAACTGCAAGTCAAGTATGGGTATTTGTGGCTTCGAAGCGTCGCAGCACAAAGTGGGAAGTACCCTGAAAGCAACACAGGGTGGGCCATGAACAATTGGGTTTGAAGCGCAGCACAAAAAGTAGAACTACACCACGCAGCAAATGTCGCACTCGCTAGCCAATGGAATCACAACCTCGGTGGCAAAAGCAAGCTGAAAGACAACATCCCTCAAGTTGCACTTATTTGTTTGCAGTCTGTCTTTAAAAAACCCCACCCATGGCCCTAGGTTGATATCAATCAGCGCCAAGCAATGACTTGTTGCTGGTTTTGCCACATCCAAAACCGCAAGTACTGTCCATTTGCATCCCTTCGGGCGTTTGACCATGGGAAAAAGCTGTTGCGTTGTCCTTGACCGGACCATACACCCCATAACCGTTGGGCCTTCTCAGGAGCATGTTTGCGTCAAGGCTCCACGTGACAAATTTGCCTACTAGGTCCTATGGGGAAGTAGCACTGTTTCGGAATTCCATTTCTGCCTCAAACACTCCACTCCACCCGATGCAAACGCTGGAGCACGCAAGGGGCTCGTCGGTGAGAACATTGCCAGCCTTGACCTGCCCGGAGCTGCAAGTATCGTTGCCACCTCTTGTTGAAAACTGGGATTGCTTTCGCATTAAACACATATACACATCTGTGTAAAATGGTTCATGGCCTGCTGCCAGCAAGTAATGCTCTATCTCAGCAGGCAATATCGAGTTGTTTATGTTGGCAATTGCAGTGTCGTGCAAACAGGTAGGCATGCGCTGCCTTTTTTGCCGAGGGGCTAGATCGAGCATGAGCTAGCTAGACGGTCAGCATCAAACACCTGATTTTCTGATTTCAAAGTGGCCAATAATACATTGCTCGTAGAAGGTGATGACCGCGCTGGATGTGCATGCTTCCGTATGAGTTTCAAACAACTGCTATTCTTAGCTGCCATCTTCTCCGTATCAGAAGGAGTAAAGGCCGTAATCATCAAGTGGTGCAGCTACGATGTCCAGGTAACAGTCATAAGAAACAAAAACACCATCTCAAAAAAAGGCAGAGAGCAATGCAGCACAGCTCAAAGGCGTTCAGTATTGCAATATTGCAGGGCGCAACTTTTGTGTGCAAGTGCATGCGCCCCATGTTTTCGTAGTTGTTGCAGCTAGGCACAAAGAAGAAAGCTAGATAAGAAACACTGGCTCGGTCATTGAAGATCTTGGGGACATCTTCCTTCCGTCTGCATGAACAAGTAAGACACATCAAAAGCGCAACTCATTCAAAAGTCCCATTCAAAAGCCCCGACCCTTCTTGAGGAAGGCGAATATGTCAAACATTCATGCATGTACAATCATTGGTGCACATTGCTATGATGAATTTTCCCTCGCCAGTGTGGGCTTCGGACTCCCTAAAAGTACCTTAGCTCCAGGGTTCAACTGACTAACCCCGCGCGCACTCTCCTCGACAACGGTGCCCAGTCGCGTCTGGGACCCCGGGCCACATTGAAGGAGCCTCCGGCGTAGGCGTTGCACACACGCAGCTCCGGCTGGAACTCGGCAGCCTGCGAGGGCTACGCAGAAGCGGAGGTCGGTTTGAAAGGAAACCTTTTTTTGGGCTTGAAAGGGAAACCAAAAGCCCCATGCACGAGGCTTCATAACGTGTGCGTAGGACTGGCGCGACGAAAAACTGAAATGGCTCTGAATCCCCAACCTTGAGCCTTTTTCTCGACGTGAGCAGCACACGCTAACGGAGGGCCGCGCCTTGAGAACATGATGCGATCGCATGAAGTTGGCAGATGCCAGTGGGCAAATCGCCAAAAGCGCTGACCACAACCTGAGCTTGGCATTCCGCATGCTTGCGGCAGTCAGTCGATCACACTATATATGGGCTTATTTGCTTGTTGTTTTCGGGTTTGTTGAAAAAGAAACCTAAAGAAACCTGTCCACTTTGGGGTCCGCCTATTTTGACACATGCCTATCTGTGCCATGGTGAAACCTCCTCATGTGGTAGAATTGCTTGCAATGGTGGTCTAACATACCTTTTTAACACTTCCTGGACCAGCTCTACTGTATTCTACTGTGCCCAAATAACCAGGTGTTTCATTGTGGCACATATCCAGCCTGTCCAATTGCAAGAGAGGAGGGACTTCTGCAGCATATGCTCAGTGAGATGCATCAAACATACAGGCCACATAGGTGGATAGAACAGCTAGAGATCGGAATCACGTTTTATACAGTAAGTGTCAGCCAAACAAATGCTAGCACTTCCGTTCTCTTGATGAGGTACATATTGGCATGGTCCAATCCTATCAATCATATAGTGCCAACACAGCCAATATCACTGCTGGTGTTTGGCGCGATGACAACCAATGCAAGCAGGTGGCCAGCACAGCATCAATTCATCTCTTGTGTTTAGCTCTCCGTTCGAAACGGCTCTTGGAGCGAGCATGATAATTGAGCACTGGGATGGAGCAAGCATGCCTGCCAAACACAGCCTGGCAGCCCTTCACGGCATGTTGAGCAAGCGGGATCTTCCGGGGCAATGTTGGGAGGTTGTCCTTCTTCCAGCAGTTGACATAGGATGTCGTAAAGATAATGTCCACTGAACTAGCATGCCATTCAAAAGGGTCCTTCCTGCAGATGCTGTCTCTAATGCCTGCATCTACGTGCTTCCACCGTGCGCAAGATGTGAAGCTCCCAGGATTCGTTTCAACGATACCAGCGCTCTGCCTAAAACTCGCGTCTTGTCTTTACGTCTGTCATCGACAATTCCATACTTGCCGCCGCGAATTTCCTTGCATGAGTTGTATCCCATCCATTCTCATCCCTTGTGCCAGCGCGCATGGAGGAAGACATGGTCGCTCACCTCTTCCTTCCAGGAACGAGCAACTGGAGGGAACAACGCAAAGAACAAACATGATCATGAGAATGACACCTGCCAGCCTGCATGCTGAGCATGCTCCACAGTTCACAGGACCGTGACAATTGTTTATGTGGGGGTTCACGAGTCATTCACCCCTCCCTCCCGCAAAACCAGCAGACCTTCATGTTGCCTTTGCATACTTTACCATAATATAAACATTACCTCTGCTGACCCGCTGAGTTTACCGACCAAACCATGCTCAAATTGCTTGCTGTAGCCCTTAGCCCTTGCCACACATGATGAAGAAGCCTACCAACCCAAACTTCAATATTTGCACTTGGGTAAGTCTAGTGCATGAGGCTGGCCAAGGTGGCTATGGTTCGCCCAAACAAGACGCGCCGCGCCCGTCCGACACACCCCACTCCTACTTCAATGAGTCGGAGTGCCAATGGATGCGCTCGATCCGATGGCTGCAGGGACCGACACGACACGCGGCAGCAATGTCAGCCTTGTGCCACGCCAAAATATGCCACAGACCTGATTGAAACCGAATTTGGTGTGAAATATGTGTGGTCCTTGTACGAGGAATGCAGGTAATTTGATGCTGGCAATGAATGAAAATGACTATGGGGCTTCTCAATCCAGGAGCTCGGTGTTTCGTATGGGGCAGACTCCAGAAGGGGTGTCTTTCTCAAGAACCATCGGACACTTCGACAGAACAACTAGGCGGCTTTCCACAGAAAGCGTGTGCGGTGAGCGCCTTCAGCGAAGCAACATTTGCCCATCAGGGCGCAGGGGAAGTCATACATCGACATGTGTAGCATGCCTTGCGTTAGGCAGCCCAACTCTCATGTGAACGCTACGACAAGTTTATGGAAATTCCAAACACACAATGCAGAAACGGACAAACCCTCAAAACAAAAGACGACAACCGCACAATGGAAAAGCCAACGCTCTATATATATATATATGTATGCGCCCCCTTAAACATCACCCCAACGACCGGAAACTCATTTCAAAGGGGCCCGAAAAGCGATGTTTAATTCACCCAAGGAAAATATGGGCAGCCCTGCCAACACTAAAAATCAAGCCAACCTTTGGCAACAGGGGATCCGGCATTGAAGGCGGCCGGCCTCAGCGCGCATGAAACAGCGCTGAACAGGCGCAGAGCGTGTTGGGATGTGGATGTGACAAGAGTCAGACGATGAGACAAGTCATGTTTTTTCCGAATCCGGGTGCCAAACGAGAGTGAAAAACATAAACAACTTATTGTTTGAAACTCATGGGAACGCATACTACTAGCAGCCCTGGCCTCTGGAGGTACAGTACGAAGCTCCAATTGCTGCTGGTCTAGCACGGCATATTCGGAAAGCCAACTCTCAAATCAAATGTATGCCTCTTCAGGGAGTTTGCCTGTAGCGGCGGTTGCTCAGTGGGCTTTCCATGCAAGGCACGCCTTCCTGCCTCCATCCCTGAAACCGTGGGACAACATGCCACGGCTACGGTAAGCCCCACTGGCACAGTTCGGGATTGGAGTTATTGAATGTTAAGCCCGAGGCCGAGTCTGTCAAACAACAGCTTCCATGGTGGACCCTTGCACTGGATGGTGCTGGAAGCTGCTGTCATGCTTTTCTACAAGTACATGGTTTCGGCTTTAGAACGGCCCCCGTATACATTGGCTCGTGGGAAGACTGTGGCACTGCGCTCATTCACGTGCTTGGGCTTGGATTGAATAAGCGTCAACTGTAGACATCCACAATGTGCAATAGCCGCTCGAGCTTGAGCACACATGACTCTTCAACAATGAATGAATTGCAAACCTTCTGGAGATTCTGGAGATGACTCTAGAGTCATGTTTAAGCAACTCTGAAGGATTGCAACAGTTCGAGAGCTTCAGGTTCAATTCTGGGGATGCACACAATCCCGAGGCGCTAGGCTCTTGTCAGCTTCAATATGCACCATCCGGTGCCAAAAGTTTGCTGGAGAATATCCTAACGCCATGTCTTACTTTGGATAGTTCTATTCGACATCAAGCTCTCTTCATAGGGTTCACCTGAGACATTGTTCAGGACGTCTTGCCACGATACAAGTTGTTGCAGCTTGCGTGACTTGGCAACTCTTACAATCTAAAATATCGACACCTGGGACGGCGGCTTGTAGTGCTAGGGATGGATGACTATCCAACCACACCAATACCTCTTGTCATTTGGGGGTTGTCCTATATTCCTTTGCCCATGATTGCGTCCTTGGGCCGCACTTGACGTGCGCAGCGCTTGCGCGGACTTGCGCGCACACAGCGACGCAGAAACTAGGTTTCGTTGACCTCGGTTTGTGAAGTTTTCGTGTGGGTTGCGCGGAAGCTTTTCTAAGCAGTGTGCTTGTCGTTCACGCAGCAACCCACAAAGGCTCTTCCCGCTGAGGTCGCTCCCAGCAATTCTAGGCCAGCAACATACTCTTGACCAACAGAAACGACGGCAGGCTCTGCCACACAGCTTGGACAGAGCCTGAGAGGAGAGTGCATGTTGCGGCTGCCTATCCATTGCTTGAACCGCGCCGCTAAGGACATCCGAGACAGCAAATGGCTAAATGTCTTGCTGGGGCTTCGCGCTTGCGCGCAACTTGCGCGCAACTTGCGCGCACTTGCGCGTGGCTTGCGCGGATTTTGTCGCGTCAGTTGCTGATTGTTGACGTCATGACCGCAAAAGCTTTGGCTTCGTTTGGCGTCTGACTGAAAGAAAGCCGCACCGTTGCAAACAAGCTTGTGGCCTACACATGACCCAAGAAACATTCGACAAGCACAAGTACTGTAAAAAAGTATCACCTCCTTTCATAAAGCTAGGCAACATCAGTACATGAAACTTTTCAAAACTGTAACCTCGCACGTCCCTTGACAAGCACTTGCGCGCTCCTTGCGCGCGCACAGCTTTTGACAACTTTTACTTCTCCCCGCTCGCCGATAATTAAACCGAAGACTGGGGTTTTAGGACGGCCCTCATTTGGGGAAGACTGCGGGTGCGGTACATCTATCCAACAAACAATCTATTGAAACACGTCTATGTACCTAGGTGTGTGTTGTGTGCTTTATGTACGCGCGCATACCCTGCCTGTCTCTGTCTCTGTCTTTGTCTCCGTCTCCGTCTCCGTCTCTGTCTCGCTGTCTGTCTGCCAGTCTCTCGCTCCGTCCGTCCGTCCGCCTTTCTCTACGTCACTATGTCTACATGTGTGCAATCCTGCAGGGACGCAGGGCTGTGCCTCTGCAGGTCTGTATGTAAGGTATGTTTGTATGTGCCTATGTGTACTTTTATGCCTCCAAGTATGTCTGTCCATCTCTGTCACTGTTGTGCTTCTTCTCCGTCTGTCTTGTGACTGTGTGTTCGCCTGCTTGCTCGCGCGCTTGCTTGCTTGCTCGCTCGCTCTTTCGTTTTTCGTGTTTGTGAGAGTTTGCAGCTGTGTTGCACTCACCATGCTCTCTTTGTGGGTCCCTGCATGCGATTCCACGCGGGCTGGCAATCAATTATCAAACCACGCCTTTGCGAGGCAATCAAGTATCAACATATTCGTAGACCATGTGCAGAATCTAGAGGGCTGCCGCACCTTTTTCTGGCTAGGGCTGCCCTCTCTTAGTGTTGACTCACCCGCGTTTTGATTGCAGCTCACCTGTTGCCATCCAAGAGACTACGAGCATCCCATGGGCTTGCCATCGCTTCCGTGGCATGAGTCAAACGCCCCCCAAAGCCACAGACTACATATCTTTTAAAACAGGAGAACTGCTCCAAGCAGAAGACATGTGTGGTGAGGGTTTGGGAGCCATGGTTACAATCCAACACTCATACGGTGCGGCATTTCAGAGGTTAGACTGAAGCATCCACAAGCAAATACTCGGATTGGTGGTGGGTGATTGGCGGTGGGTGATTAGGTGGTAATTGTGGTAATTAGTGTGGTGGCTGGCGGTGCTTCATGTGTGCTGCTTGCTTCGGGCGGTCCTGGTAGGTTTGGTGCTCGTAGGTTACTTCTGCTGATGGTATATTTGTGTTGCTGGTGCTAGTGGGTGACAATGGGGATGGTAAAAGCTATTGATGTGCGTGGCATTGGTGATCCGACATCTCTGCGGTCAAAGAAGGATCTGAAACATGCACATGGCTGCGTGACTCACTGCATGACCCACGGCAAGGGTCGATGATTGTATGCCTTTAGAATGTCCTTACCAAGGGCAAAAGTGCTCAAATGCATTCCTCCATTTACAATCATGGCCCATGCATTGGCTTTGACCTGAAGACTCGTACGAGTGGCGCTTACAGAAAGCACTGCTGCATAGTATCATACTAGATTTCAGCCGAAGATCCCAGATAAGTTCCACTTTAAGCAAAAACTGGCAAATTGCCTCCCGGCACGTGGATCGAGCTTTTCTTCTGGCGAACGCGCCCACTCACGACACCTTTGGTCGCTCTCTGCTGGCTGGTGCTGGCGTCTGGCGTGCGCTCTGAAGCTGCAACACGTATTTTGTGACCATGGGAGCCCGAAGGTCGGGAATTTCCGGGTACCCTGCGAGAATAGGCACCCTATTGTCTAACTTGTTCTGCGCCTCGTGCGGGACTCTTACAGAATTCCAACGAGCTGAGGCGTCCACCTGCAGAGCGCAAACATTTCATCGGAGTCATCTCAACATACAAGTGCACCAAGGTAATGAGGTTGCACGAGGCTGCTTACATGAATTTGCACGCCGGCCTGCTCCATATGGGATAATGATCATCAACTTGAAGGTGCTGTGGATGTCACAAAGCCATAAAGAACACATGGGGATGTAGCTGCCCCGCATCATATCCAAGAGTTGGACAAGACTTAAGAAGAGACTTAAACAGAGCCATCAATGCGAGCTGCTTGCCTCATGGACCAGCTGGCGCTCACATGGCCAAATTTCCTAAGTGGGCAAATCGTTTCGATGGATGCTAGCATTTACCCCGAAAAAACAATCATAGTTAATATGACTTTGACT